TAGGATAATCCAAGCACATTATATGAAAAATCTAGTTAAATTGACGCACTTATAGTTTAGCGAAGCGAGCGGGTATAAAATTGTCCAAAATTCTCTATGAATTAGTTTGGTTTCACTTTAATATAAACGAGTACTCCTCGTACGTCACAGCATTAGCATTTSGCATGGAAAAACCTTATAACTTCAAGAAACAGCACTCAAACTATAAAATTTTATTTTACTCCATGTAGAATCAATACTGTGAGTATTGTCAGAAGGGTGAAAGGCACTTCTGAAGTACTTCTACGTAGGGGGTTAGCTCGGCGGATGCGGATGAAGGATAGAATACAATGATAGATAGAGTTATTTTTATATTCAAAATATTTTACAACACTAACGAAAAAAAAAAGTGCCCTTCGTAATAACAGATTTTGTCTTGAAATCAMACGAATTTATTTGATTTTGCCAATTCGCTAATTGCCTTTAGTTAGCACAACTCTAGAAAGACCAGCAGATCCAGCTGATTTCTTTGAGAAATTGATTGCATGTCTAAATCCGAATTCACTCTTACTGTGAATGCATGACTTCATCATAAACGCCTTTTGCTCGAGGGCCTGATATTCAATCAAATGCTTGAAAAATTTTCAGTATAATATTAGATGTTTTCACCTTGGTCTTAAGATGCACATTTGAATGCGCTTTCATGCATGTTTGACATTTGAAAATTCGTTTGGTTGCATCATTTGACCTTAAAACATTTTTTTTYCTTCTTAGCAACACAAAGCTAAGAACTTTTTTTTGTTGTTGAAAATAGTAACTTACATTTAACTTAGTATTAGTTTATATAATTATTATATTTGTTAGTAATATTGTAATTTATATGATTTACATCTTGGAAGCGCCTAAAATATGCTTATGGTATGAGCGCTATATAAATGAAATTTATTATTATTATTCGAGAATATATCCAGCTGAGTAATTCCTTGATGGTCTCGAAGGGTTGCAATTTACAATGCCGCGTCGCCGCTGTGGCCCTCTAATGCCTTTTCTTCTATTGTTCAGTTCGACAATAAACATGATTCTATATCAGAATGAGCCTGAAGCGAGATGACGTTTTACCCCCGTCTCTAGACCATAATCCTTTTCACATTGCTTTTGTTCTTTAATTATGACTATTGTTTCTGTATTCTTTAAGGAATCAAAAATTTTGATATGAAAGAATATTAAAAACTATTATGGTATAGAGTCGGGGGTAAAACATGATCTCGCTTCAGACTTCTTATAAACCTTCTCACTGTCATGATTTCTATTGTGTTTTCCTCATGAATACCCTTGAATTTTTATATCGTATACAGCACAGCCACTCATATTGCATATATTAAATAAAAGGCTCGTGTTTACTGGGGTGTTGCTTGCAGAGGCGGGACTAAAAGCTACTCCTTTACTTAATCATGTGGAACAAACGTCATGATAATTACAAGGCGTTTGTACAGATTTTATTTTAAATTCATACGCATTTATTTTATCTTTGCCAATTCTCTAATTGTGTTTAGTTAGCACAAATATAGAAAGACCAACAGATCCAGCTAATTGCTTTGAAAAATTGTTTGCATGTCTAATTCCTAATTATCCTTGCTGCGAATATTGCTTTGAAAAATTGATTGCATGTCTAAATCCTAATTACTCTTGCTGCGAATATGCATGACTTCATGTCGTATACAACACGGCCACTCATATTGCACATATTACATCAAAGGTTCGTGTTCACTGGTGTGTTACTTGCAGAGCGGGCCTAAAAGCCAGTCCTTTAGCTGTTAATGTTGTGCAAACCT